AGGATGAGGAGGTGATTCTGAAGGGGGGCGGAACGGACGGTACCACTTTTGAACTGCAGGTGGCAGATGACCTTTTTGAAAAGCCCTGCTATTAAAGATCAAGTCCAAGATGCTGAGCTACAGACCGGAAGGTCTGTAGCTCGGCAGTTCGGGACCCGAGTGCCACGTGACGGAGTGAGCTCCCGTCTCTGGCCCCAGCTCCTGCCAACGTAGCAGTTCGAAAGCAAGAAATTGCAAGTAGATAAATAGGTACCACTTAGGTGGGAAGGTAACAGTGTTCCGTGCGCCTTGGTGTTTAGTCATGCCGGCCACATGTCCACGGAGAAGTCTTCGGACAGCGCTGGCTCTTCAGCTTGGAAACGGAGATGAGCACTGCCCCCTAGAGTTGGATTTGACTAGCTTTCAAGCAAGGGAAACCTTTACCTTTACCTTACATTGGAGGAGTATTATTTTAAATGAACAAATCAATGGTGCAACCTGTTCGCGTACCCACCAGGGCAATAAGGACCTATGGGAGCAGAGGCCTCCAGCTTAAGGGGGCCGCGTTAATGCTCTCATATCCACCTCATTTTGCTGCATCTGAGGGCCAGGCTGTTATCTATTCCAATCCTCGAACGCAAGAGCTTCTGGGAAAGAGGGGCACTTTGCCTTGCGAGCACCACTGACACAGCCAGGACAGCTCATCGTGGAGGGAGGAGGCCAATTCAACCTCCCCCTCCTCTTGTGCCACTTCTGAAGGTAATCAGATCAACTGACTATGGAAGAAGTATGCGGCAGGTGTACCCATGGCCCTGTTCCCTGGTGGTTGTTATCCAGATGTTTCTCTCCAGATGTTGCCAGCTGCCTTTAAAAGCCTAAAGGGTGGGAAGGCAGGAGAGAAACCTTTGAAGTGAACGAATGACTAAACCGTAAGCCAAGTATCTTGAAATCGGCCAGTTTCGGCCAAACAACACAAGGTTAGGGCAGGCCTCTGACACTTTGCTCCTGCATGAGTACATCTGCACCAGCTGTTCTCCCCAGGATTCATCCCAGGATATACTGAAAACAGCTGGCAGACTTGGCACCTTCTCAGTACAGTGCCCTGAGTGAAGTATCCGATTGTAAATTTTGTCAAAGGGAAAGCCAAGACCTCAATAAACAGGGATTAACATGCCCACAATGTCCCTTGCATGGATTTCAGTAACGCTGAAGCTGCGGCATTCAAAACTCTGTGTTCTCAGGATTCTGAGAGTTCACCAAGTCTTTTTTTTTCTTACGCATTCCTGAATTGCTATAAGGATTCAAAGCAGGGGTCATTTCCTGCGGGAGCGCATAGGAGCAGAGCTCCGGCAGTAAGGAGCCCAGGGGGCGGGCACATGCAGCAAGCCCCACCCCCTGCTCCCAGCAGCCCTCAGTCGGGCCACAAGGAGCAAGAAGCAACCAGGTAAGTTGCAGAGCCCCCCCACCTTCAGGTACAAGCTCTTCCTCCTCTGTGAGGGCAGATATGCGCATCCCCCCTCCGCCAGCAATCCAAAACAGTCTAGTGGAGCCTGAGTGGTGGGTGTTGCCTTCTGACACACTTCCGGTGATGTCAGGGGGGGTGGCATATGCAAATGAGTTATGCTAATAAATTATGCTAATGAGCTCCTGCACCTCTTTTTCTACGAAATGACCCCTGATTCAAAGTATGCTAAAATTCATGGGTTTTCCCTTTTTTGTTGACTGGTTAAAAGGGCTTTTTCCTTTTACATCATCTAGAACAGGAGGGCACAGCCACAGATGTGCAAAGAAGCACTCTTAAAGGTTTGATCCTGCCGACATGCTTCCTCAATCGGCTAGTTTCACACGGTCAAAACAGCACTTCCCTTTTTGAATGAAAGGAAGAGAGGAGTGGCAGTTTGGGGCTTGCCGTAAAAATGTCTGTGGGCGAACATTTGGCAAATCCCTACGAATTACACACTGGATTAATCCAAGGACACCTGGAAGGATGCGAAAATCAGAAGCAGAAAGACAGATGCAAGGCAATACTGTCTGGATCCATCGTAATGGAGACCTGACACTAATGGAGATGTTGGTCAAGGGGATAAAACTGGAGAGAACAGCTGCCTGCGGCCTAGGAGGGAAGTTCAGATTACAGAAAAAAGCTGCCTCATTCGGTTCTTCTGAGCTCCCCAGATTTGGGTCATCCGCTGACCTGTGATGATGGTGGCTGAGATTGGGCCGAAACGCCTCTGCCCAGAGATGCCATAGAGGTCGAATGTATATCTGTAGGAAGGCACCAGGTAGTATATCACAACAGAACCGATCTCCTTGCCCACAGGCAGCGTCTGGGGCTGGTCCTCGGCATCCTTATACTGCACCAAGTAGGAGTCAAAGATCCCAACTGGGATGTTCCAAAACAGACGGACGGAGTTACTGGTGACATCAGACACGGAGAGCTCTCCCAGTTCAGGCTGTGGCTGTGGAGTGGCCGTCTCATCCCCCACCTCCTGCTTCGACGCCAAGGGAGCTGTTGAAAAAGAGCAATGGCAAGAGAAGTTGGTGGGCCGGCAGACCACAGAGTCCATGATCAATGTGTTCCCTGACTATGGGACATAAAGAAAAGGGAAATGTAAAGGCCTGATCACAGCAGTGGTCTGTCTGTTCCAGCATCCTGTTACACGTGTTGGCTAAACAGGTGCCCCGGAAGGCCTACAAGCAGGTGGCATAGAGACCTCAGCTCCCACCACCACCACCACCACCAGTATTCTGAGGGTTTCTGCTTCTGCGCATGGATGTTCCATTAGTCGTGGTGGCTAACAGCCAAAGGTGGGCCTCTCCTCCATGAACTTGCCCCATCCTCTTTTAAAGCCAACTAAAGTCCAGTAGGAACAGTGATGTTACTGGTTAATTTTAGACTCTGGCCTTTATGGACTTGTGTGTCCCCTTCTTTTAGATGGAACAGTGCTACTATTGGGTAATTTTAGACTCTGGCCTTAATGGACTCTGGGCTTAATGGAGTCAAAGGTGTCTGTTGTGGGGAGGAGAAGGGAAAGGAGTTTGTAAGCCGCTCTGATACACCTTTGGGTAGTGAAGGGCGGGGTATAAATCCAATCTCTTCCCTTCTTCTTCTTCTTCTTCTTCTAGATGGACCAGTGATACTATTGGGTAATTTTAGACTCTGGCCTTAATGGACTTGTGTCCCCTTCCCTTAGATGGTTGATGTATATGTCCAGCGTGATTCACATTATGTGAAGCACAGAACAAACCATTCAACAAGCTTCTCCCGCCTTATCGCACTGTCTCCACAAATAACACACACACAGTGTAACCTGATTCTGTGCCTATTTACTCAAAAGCCAGTCCTACTGTGCTCAATAAGGCTTGCTAACTATAGCCTCTTTTTTGGGGCGGGGCGTTACTGAGCCAGTGAGCCAAGGCCCTGAACTTCTGTCCCTGAATCCAGCCCTAAAGACACCAAGGCTTAGGAACATGGAACACCACGAGAACAAATTTAGAGTCCAGTGGCACCTTTAAGACAAACAAAGGATGGACGGCTTCAAAAGGGAATTAGATAAGCATATTCAAAGTCTTAGAAGATGATGCTGTTAAAGTGCTGCACTCCATTTGCCAGCAAATTTGGAAAACGCAACAATGGCCACAGGATTGGAAAAGGTCAGTATACATTCCAATTCCAAAGAAGGGCAATGCCAAGGAATATTCAAACTATCGCACAATTGCACTCATATCACACGCTAGCAAGGTCATGCTCAAGATCCTACAAGCCAGGCTTCAACAGTAGGTGGATAGAGAACTGCCAGAAGTACAAGCTGAGTTTCGAAGAGGTAGAGGAACCAGAGATCAAATTGCCAACATTCGCTGGATTATGGAGAAAGCAAGAGAGTACCAGAAAAACATCTACTTCTGCTTCATTGACTATGCTAAAGCTTTTGACTGTGTGGATCACAACAAACTATGGCAGGTCCTTAAAGAGATGGGAGTACCAGACCACCTCACATGTCTCTTGAGAAACCTGTATAAGGGCCAAGAAGCGACAGTTAGAACCGGATACGGAACAACTGATTGGTTCAGCATAGGAAAAGGAGTACAACAAGGATGTATATTGTCACCTTGCTTATTTAATATATATGCAGAGTACATCATGCGAAAAGCTGGCCTGGATGAATCACAAAGCTGCATTGTGGCTGCCTCCACCTCCTGCGGCAGCCATTTTGTGGCAGCCATTTTGTGGCTGCATCCACCATGTTGTGTCAGAATTCTGAAGGTGCCCACAGGCTTAAAAGGGTTGCAGATCCCAGTTTAGAACAAAACTAAGGGGTGCAGCTCCTGCTGTAGAGCTTTACCTCAGTTTAAATAGGGGACAAATTTTGTTGTGTCACGCTGAGCCAGATCATTACTTCATCCAGTCCCAGTGCTGCCTCCTCTGATTGGCAACAACTCTTTAAGGTCTCAGATAGAGAAAGGTCTTCCCCAACAGCTGCTAATTTTAACTGGAAATGCTGGAGATTGAACCTGGGAACTGGTGTATGAAAAGTATGTGCTCTACTGATTGAGTGGACGTTTAGCCATCAACAACATGCTAGGGATTCATTCACTCATAGCATTTCCAGAGTGTCGTCTGGGTTGACCCAGTGGCACCCAGTTGTTCCCTCAGGATTAGGCCCTCGTGGCATTTTTTGAGGGCCTAATTATTCTCTAAAATGGCCTCAGCCTCCATAGGCTGGACCCATGGACGCCATAACACCTAGTTCGGCTTTCAGGAGAGTCAGATTAGAGCAGAACGATGTTGAAGCTGAAAACAACAAATGACTCAGGAGTCAGCTAAGCCCCACATCAAGCTGGAAGTAACACACTGTTTTCTGACATGTTCTAAACTTTGCCTTGAATTGTGCAGATTGATTCGGCCGTGTGTGTGTGTGTGTGTGTGTTGATACACAAACACTTCATAGCTAAAGCACCAAAGGGCCTTTTTGGTGTGTGGCCTTCACAACACATTAGGTGCAGAAGCACTGCTGACCTGTGGAGGCATCAGAGGTTATGGGGCCAAGCCGTTCCTGACCGAAAATGCCATAGAGCTCAAATCGGTATCTGTGGGAAGGAGTCAGGTTAGGGACTGTGGCCTCAAGAGAGTCCCCCTCCACTGGCACGTCCCGCAGGTTGTTCTTTGCATCTCTGTACTGAACCAAGAAGGAGTCAAAGTTTCCAGCTGGGACGCTCCAGGAAAGGCGGACGGAATCGCTGGTGGCCTCCGAGACCGACAGTTCTCCCAAACGAGGCTGACGTCTCCCCCCCTCATCATCCTCGTCCTCATCCTCAGTCTCGTCTTCCTCCTGATTTGCTGCAGCTAGAATGAGAAAGGGGGGATAAAATAAAGGGAAAGGGATCCTGTGTCTGTGAGCAACGATCCACAGAGTTTGCTTAGCTGTGAAGAGAGGGGAAGAAGGCAACAGAAGGCAAACACGTGGAGGGGACAGGCGGTGGCTTGTAGAGCTTTACATCAGTTTAAATCAGTCGATTCATGCATCAGTCGATTCTGAAGTGTAACATTTGGGGCACTGAAAGAAAAAACACACCCATGCAAAGCAGGAGCCACGTTTTTCTGCGAGCTCGGAACATGGGGCTTAATAAAGAGGCAGGTGGTTTCTGAAAAACGAACAGGTTGGGCGAAAAGAAAACCATAAAAACTGGGGAAGGAATAGGCTTCCTTTCCCTGCCACTTTCCTCCCTCCCGCCCATAGCTATAGTGGGGCATTTGGGGGCTCCGCCCACTCAAATGTAAGGCATGCCCCCACAACTGCTGCAGCCCCTCTCCCCACCTCCTGTGACATTAAAAGGGCCCTCCAGCGGATTGGCAGAGCACGTGGCCCTCTGGTCAGCTGGAGAGTCCTTTAAATCTTGCAATCACCCCTCTCCCTCCCCTCCTCCAAGATTTAAAGGGCCCTTTAAATCTTGGAGTTGGGGAGGGAGAGGGGCGATTGCAAGATTTCGCCGAATTTGCCGCTTGGAGCTCAAGGAAGGCATGCGGCCACGCCTCCCCCTCCCCCGCTGCTCCACAAAATTTTCCTGTGCTCCACCAACCCAAAATTTCTTACTATGGGGCTGCTCCCTCTCTCTCCTGCTTCGGTCACTTGTTCCTTCCCTTCCCTATTCTCCGTATCTCCCTTCTTTCTTTTCCCCCTTCGTCCCACCCTTCCTTTTCTCCCTCCCCCTCCAAAAGGTTAGGTGTGCTGGAAGAGAAAAGGATGCTATCGGAGAGAAGCTCTCGCTGGCTTCTGCTGACCTGTGGTGGCTTCAGCAGAAATGGGGCCGAGACGCTTGCGGCCCGAGACTCCGTAGAGATTGAATTTGTATCTGCGGGAAGGAGCCAGATTGGTAATGGTGACTTCGTGGGAGCCTCCCTCCACGGGTAAGGCCTGGGGTTTGCCATCAGCGTCCTTGTACTGGATCTGGAAAGAGTCAAAGCTCCCGGTGGGGACAGTCCAGGAGAGACGAGAAGAATCACTGGTGACATCAGAGACCGAGAGTTCTCCTAGACTGGGCTTTACCGCATCCAGTGGGGCTAAGAAGCAAACAGGGGAAGAGAAAGTTAAACTGGCATCTGCAAAGAATGGAGCGGTTTAGAGATGAGCAAATCAGACTTGAATTTCTGGGTGCTGAATATACCTCCCACGGTTGCTTCTCTGTGCAAAATCACACACGCATACTCCCATTCAGGGGAGAGGGAGTAGGATATAGATTTGGTAAATAAATAAATGAATACATAAATAATTTTTTGCCTCCAGAGGTGCTAGAGAGCAAGAGGCAAAGTGTGATTCACACATAAAATGCCTAATCCGTCTTCTACGAATCATCGGTGAGCCATCAAGGAACAGGGAGGTCTGGACATTCCTTATTTTGTATCATTTCATTTCATATCCTTTCGTGTTTCTATCGTTTCAGGTTTTTTGCTGTTGGTTTCATAGATGTGTTTCTGTTCATGAACGTATGTCATACAGATTCCAATGCACACTGTTTAAACAAAATACATATGGACAGAGGTCATTTCGGGGGGGATCGCGGGGGATCGCAGTTCCCCCGGGTGAGGTATGGGGGCGGGGCACATGACGAAACCCCGCCCCCTGCTTCCGGCCATCCCGCTTCTGGCCCTCATTCAGCCAGGAGGAGGCAGGAGAAGACGGAGGGTAAGTTGCTTCCTCCCTGCCTCTCCCCACCCCTGCCTGCCTGGGGCCAGGGAGGGCCTTCACGGGGCTTCCTTGCACTCCCGCCGGCCTTGCTGCAAGGCCGGCGGCGGCCGGGACCGTTGGGGGCGGGGTGTGTGGCCTTATGACACACTTCCGGTGATGTCAGGGGGTGTGGCCTTATGACACACTTCTGGTGATGTCAGGGGGTGTGGCATTTGCTAATGAGTTATGCTAATGAGTTCCCCTAGCTCTTTTTCTATGAAACGACCCCTGCCTATGGATGTTTTATTAGCAAAATCCCATGGAAAAAGACATTTCTTTAATGGGGGGAAATTGTAATGGGAGACTGAAGACAGTACCAAAATAAAGATCGATGGATAGGATTGAAATGGGGATTTTGGGTTTGAAACAACTGGGATGAGCAATTTGTGATAGTTCTCTGTCTGGAGGCATGCAGGGTGGAAAGAGAAATGACGCAGAACTGGAGGAGAGGAAAAGGTGCAAGCTGTGTTCTCTCAAGGTTTGTCAACATTAAGGTCTTTAAAAACAGTGCTTTTATAACAAGAGGAAACTCAGCAAGTTAAATAAAGAAGGAAGGATAATAAATTAATTTGCATTAAAATCAACTTTGTCATTCCAAAAGGCAATAAACATACTTCCCACAATTAGAAAAAATGCCTTTACATATTCATCCCCTATTTTGACAAATTTATTGCTTTGCTGTCCTTTCTGTTGGAAATATGTGTGTTGCAAGGTCTAATTCAGTCATTATAGGATTAATGTTTGTTTACCTTGTGTGCTATTGTTTAGACTGACCTGGAAGGGAACCTGGCACAGACCCAATGGGAAGAAAGCCTGGGAAAACTGAATCCTATTTACTAACGATTATTGGTTAATGTATTCAGGTGATTTCCTTCTAGGGGTCAAGAAGAAGAAGTATCTCCATTGTTGTAGACTGTGTGGTCAAAGTGTAAAGATGTAGCCTTAGGTGTCTTTGTTGTTTTGTAGATTTCCTGTGAACCCTTCCCTTAGAAATAAAGATTTTTATTTAGAAAGAAAATGCCTCCTCTCCAGTGAAGCAAAGATCCATTGCAGTCTCTGAATATTTAACTATTTTGCCAATTTTCCAACACTTTCCCCCCCTTAATTAAATCAAAACAACTGCTGACCATATAACCTTAGCTTGGTATTTAGTTTTGTCTTTGCATATCTCAAAACATTTTCATCGTTACATGTTAATTTGCTGTTTAGCCTCTGTCTATAAGTTTGAACTCTACCTTCCATTCCAATGTATTTTAAAAAGTGTGCATATGCACATGAACGCTCATTCCTTGAATAAACCTCTGTTGGTTTTAAAGGTGCCAGTGGACTCTAAATTAGTTGGTGTGACAGAAACCGCAAAACTTTACTAGGGCTCCTTAGGGTTTACATCTGAATAACCCATTCAGTCCCATTTCACATTGGCCATCCTGCCAACTTAATCCTTTCTTCTACAAAGGACAAACCAGTTTGGGCCAGGCCACCTGTTTGTCAGGGAAGTCCGGGGCCATGACCAGATGCTGTGCCATGGGGAAGGGGCTATCATTTTAATAATTATCTGATTGGTAACAGTAGCCTTTGATGTCAGAGATGGGGCTTTACGTGAGATTGGCTAAACCCAGCTAGTGAATCTTATAGAGGGGACTGGCCTAGGTCAAATTCTATTACCCATAAATATCTGGGGAACTCCTTTTTGTCTCCATTTGGAGCATCATGAAATCTGTTAACCCCCAAAATGGTGGGCAAGGGGTTAAGGAACCCTCCATCATCTTGGTACTGGGAGCAAGTCTCTGCACATACCCTGAGGAATGTGCTACGACCAAGATAATGCATACTTAGCATGGTCAGATCAACTGTATTGCTTTTTATTGGAAAGTCTGTGTGGTATGATATTGTGCATTTGTGTCTGTCCCCTTTCCCAACCCCTTTGGACTCTAAACACCCCTTTCCTGTTTTCCCCTCTTTTTTATAACCTTTTTACAAAGGTTTGGGGCTTCATTTATTTCTCTGAGCTATTTCCCTGGGATGTTTCTTCTAACCTCTTCCCCAGGGCTATTTTTGGGCAGGAACGCACAGGAACAGAGTTTCGGCTGGCTCCCAAGTTGGCCACGCCCAGCAGGAACTCATTAGCATAATAGGCCACACCCAACAGCAGAAACTCATTAGGATTGGCTACATTAGGGGTGTGTGGCCTAACATGCAAAGGAATTCATGCTATGAAAAAAGGCCCTGGGTTTGGACAACAAACAAGGTAAACAGAATAAGAAGCAAAAAGTGGGTGTGGCTGGATAGGCCATTGGCCTGGTCCAACATTGGCTTCTCTTATGTTCTTATGTCCCAAACTCAGAGAGGCAGGGGGATATCTGAATGGTCTCTGAACCCTATAACATCCACACACCCCCCCCAAGAAAACAGTCCCAACAAAAGCATGAAACTTACCTGTGGTGGCATCAGTAGAAATGGGGCCGAGTCGTTTGCGGCCAACGAGCCCATACAGGTTGAACTTGTATCTGCGGGAAGGCACGAGATTCGGCACAGTGACGTCACGGGCGGCTCCCTCCGCTGGAAGGGCCTGAGGTTTGCCCTCGGCATCCTTGTACTGGATGATGAAGGAGTCAAAGCGGCCAGTGGGGACAGACCATGAGAGACGCAGAGAGTTGCTGGCGATATCAGAAGCAGACAGCTTGCCCAGGCTGGGGGGGACGGGAGGTTCTTGCGGAGGTGATGCTAGAACAGAGACAAGCAAGAGACCGTTCAGCCAAGCGTGCAAACGTTCCGTTCGAGTTCCCGCTCCAGAAACAAGCGAAACTTATTTTCAGGTGGGTAACCATGTTGGTCTGCAGTAGAAGAGCTAGATTTCAGTCCAGGAAGATTTCCAGGATAGAAGATTTTGAGTGTCCTTTCAAAAAGGGAGCTTTGACTCTCAAAAACTTACAACTGGGAGATCTTGTTTTTCTCTAAGGTGATACTGGACTTGAACCTAGCTCAAACAAAGCTTAGCAGGTTATTTAACAGAGTTTTAGTACTGAGGGGGTGGGCATAAACGATGCAAAGTTCACATTTCAGGACTCAAGTAAACATGCTGCGGGAAGGCCAAACTAGACCTGTGAACAGAAGAGCCCTTGGGGTTTACTCGAAAGGAAGACAACCTTGCATTTAAGATAACCTGCCCCCTAAAAAACTGTGATACACAAAACATTTTTTAGTATTGGACATAGGTAAAGGTTCCCTTGCTCGAAAGCCAGTCGAATCCGACTCTAGGGTTGCGGTGCTTATCTCCGTTTCAAAGCCGAAGAGCCAGCGCTGTCCGAAGATGTTTCTGTGGTCATGTGGCCGGCATGACTAAACACCAAGGCGCACGGAATGCTGTTACCTTCCCACCGAAGTGGTACCTATTTATCTACTTGCAATTTCTTGCTTTCGAACTGCTACGTTGGCAGGAGCTGGAACTAGAGACAGGAGCTCACTCCATCATGTGGCACACTCGGGTCTCGAACTGCTGAACTACTGACCTTCCACAGCCTGCAGTTCAGCATCTTAACCACTTGAGCCACTGCAGCTCCATAACTTGTACGCAAATTTAAGATGACCCTTTCTTTTGTTTTGATGGTATACTGTTGGGGGCGGGGGGAACCTAATTTTGCATTTGAGAAAATACTGGAGTTAAAAGCAACCGGGGTGGCGTCATGGATATGACTAGGAATACAGGTGAACAGTTGATGGACTTGACCAAAAAGATTATGGGGGAGGGTTCTCCTCTAGACACAGAGCTAGCCGGGCCTCTCAGGTAAAACTTGCCAAAGGGAAGTTTAGAGACCCCAGAAGGTCGGACATTTAGAGCGGTTGAAATTAAATCAGAAGAGTTTTGGGCTAAACATTAGGAAGAACTTCCTGTCAGTTACAGCGGTTCCTCAGTGGAACAGGCTTTCCTGGGAGGTGGTGGGCTCTCCTTCGTTGGAGGTTTTCAGACAGAGGCTAGATGGCCATCTGACAGCAATGCGGATTCCGTGAACTTAGGCAGATCACGAGAAAGGAGGGCAGGAAGGGTTGCCTCAGTGCTCAGTTCTCGTGGACCTTTCTTACATGCCCAGGAAAATGCCAATCACCACTTTGGGGTCAGGAAGCAATTTTCCTCCAGGCCAGTTTGGCCGGGGATCCTGGAGGGCTTTTTTTGCCATCTTCTGGGCATGCAGCAGGGGTCACTTGGGGTATGTGGGGGGGGAGGTATGGAGCCTCGGGGGAAGGTGAGAACGTGCTACCGCGCGTCTTTTTGCTCCGGCTCAAAAAGCCTCCCGTCCGCTGTGGATTATCCCGCTCGTATGTAACAATAATGGATGATATAATTTTTTTCTCAATTTAATCAGTGTTAAAAATGTAATGCGGTGGCGGGAAGTGCCAGCAAGTCACGGGAAACATTCAGAGGCTGGTTTGCCCTTTCCTGCCTCTGTGTAGCGACCCTGGACTTCCTTGGTGGTCTCCAGGGCTTTTTTGGTAGAAAAAGCCCAGCAGGAACTCATTAGCATAACAGGCCACACCCAATAGCAGAAACTCATTAGCACATTAGGCCGCACCCACATGTTACCAGAAGTGTGGTCATCCAGCCACACCCACCTTTTGCTTCTTATTCTGTTTACCTTGTTTGTTGTCAAAACCCAGGGCCTTTTTTTTTAGCAGGGACTCCTTTGCATGTTAGGCCACACACCCCTAATGTAGCCAATCCTAAAGAGTTTCTGCTGTTGGGTGTGGCCTATTATGCTAATGAGTTCCGGCTGGGCATGACCAACTCAGGAGCCAGCCGGAAGTCTGTTCCTGTGTGTTCCTGCCCCAAAATAGCCCTGGGTATAACCCAGTATTATCAGATCTTGGAAACAGGCCAATAGCCAGGATATTTTTTACTGGGCTAGCCTATGCCTCAATAAAATTCGGAAGCAATATTCTCTGACAGTATCGCTTGTTTACTATACCCATAACAAATCAACAATGTTGTTGCGTATACCTCCTACCAGGAATTAAATGATCTGATACGGCAAAGTTAACTAGACACATTTAGGGAAATCACACATTGTGTCTCTAGCTCTCTACAATCAATGGTTTAGACTATTATATGTTGGATGAAATACTGAAGGACCAATGCCTTCTTGGAAATGTGTTTGACCCTTGCCACTATTGTGGAATCAGTTTACATCAGAACCCTCCCCTTGCTGACCTGTGACGGCCTCAGCAGAAATAGGACCAAGACGTTTCTGACCGGAGACACCATAGAGGTTGAACTTGTATCTACGGGAAGGCAGCAGGTTGGGGACAGTGGTCTCACGGGAGCCTCCCTCTATGGGCAATGCCTGTGTTTTGCCATCTGCATCCTTGTACTGGACCAGAAAAGAGTCAAAGGTTCCTGTGGGGACTGTCCAGGAGAGACGGGCAGAATCGGTGCTGACATCAGAGACCGAGAGCTCCCCTAGGCTGGGCTGGGGAGGTGTTGTTGTTGGGGAGGGGGCTGAAAAACAGACAAGGAAGAAATCCGTTATACTGATGTCACTGCAGTGATCCCACATGGTGGCACCCATGGGCACCATGACAGTCTCTGATGTGTTTCCTGGCAGTTGTTTCCTTCTTCCTCAAAGCAAACAGCCATTCTTAGCTTTCCTGTACCTCACTGGAGCAGAAAGTGCTTTAGAAGAACTACAAAGTATTGCCTTTGTTGCTGCAAGGAGGACCCATTACAAAACAGCAGTCTCAGGATGCTTGCCTGCCTTTAGAATCTTTCAGTATTTGGTGACTGGCCCCAGCCCTCATGGCAGCCATTTTGTGGCTGGCTATAGTCCCCATGGTGGCCATTTTATGGTGGCATCCACTCTATTTCCTCAGAATTCTAGAAGTGCCCAAAGTCTGAATAACTTTGGGGATCCCTGGATTACCGGATGAAGGAATCAATTAAAGAAAAGAGGTAAAAGCTGAATGAAGGAGGGAAAGTTGCAAGTAGCCATGTTATAGCCACCAGACTCTCCTGAAGCACTCTATGGTATCTGGATATCCCACTTTTCCCTTGATGAATGATATTTAAATGTCTAGTTCTGCCTTTTGTGTCAACAAGATCAAGTTTAATTATCTAAGTCTTAAAACTTATGAGGAAAATTAGCCTATTAGTTAGAAAGAGTGACCTTCCTAGGAAGGACACTTATTAAGATCTTCAAAAGGTCCGAAGAACCTCCCTTTGCTCACCTGTGACGGCATCAGCAGAAACAGGGCCGAGACGCTTGTGGCCGGAGACTCCGTAGAGGTTGAACTTGTATCTGTGGGAGGGAACCAGGTTGGGGACGGTGACCTCGCGGGATCCTCCGTCCACAGGCAGGGCCTGGGGCTGTCTGTCTGCGTCCTTGTACTGAATCAGGAAGGAGTCAAAACTCCCTGCGGGGACGGTCCAGGAGAGACGGGCAGAGTCACTGGTAACATCAGAGACTCTGAACTCCTCTAGGCTGGGCTGGACTGGAGGTGCTGTTGGTAGTGGGGCTGAAAAACCAACAAGGAACAAATCAATGAGAAAGCTATTACTGAATGAAAGAATCACAAAAAGAATCAGAAAAGGCCGCACCAATGTGGCAAGAGTAATTTATCTTTTCAACATATTTCTATCCTGTTTTTCTGTAGATAAATGGGACTTGAAGATCTGTCCTTTTATTATTTATTTATTTATATCCCATCTTTCTCCTGGGGGTGGGGGGAGGAGAAGAAGAAAAGGAGGAGGAGGAGAGTTGGATTTATATACCATCCTTCACTGCCCAAAGAAGTCTCAGAGCAGCTTACAACCTCCTTCCCTTCCTCTCCCCACAACAGGCACTCTGTGAGATAGGTGGGGCTGAGAGAGCTCTGGGAGTACTGCTCTTGAGAGAACAGCTCTCAGAGAACTTGTGACTGACCCAAGGTCACCCAGCAGCTGCATGTGGAGGAGTGGGGAATCAAACCCGGTTCTCCAGATTAGAGTTTGCTGCCCTTAACCACTACATGATACTCAATGATCCTCAAATATCTAGTTTGTGTCAAGCAGATCAAATTTAATTATCTAAGTCTTAAAACTTATAAGGAATATTAGCCTATTAGTAATAAAGAGTGATCTTCTTACAAAGGCCACTTATTCAGGCCTTCAAAATGGTCCTAAGAACCTCCCTTTGCTCACCTGTGACGGCATCAGCAGAAACAGGGCCGAGACGCTTGTGGCCGGAGACTCCGTAGAGGTTGAACCTGTATCTGTGGGAGGGAGCCAGGTTGGGGACGGTGACCTCGCGGGATCCTCCGTCCACGGGCAGGGCCTGGGGCTGTCTGTCTGCGTCCTTGTACTGAATCAGGAAGGAGTCAAAACTCCCTGCGGGGACGGTCCAGGAGAGACGGGCAGAGTCACTGGTAACGTCAGAGACTCTGAACTCCTCTAGGCTGGGCTGGACTGGAGGTGCTGTTGGTAGTGGGGCTGAAAAACCAACAAGGAGAGAGCTGTTACTGGATGAAAGAATCACAATAAGAACAAGAAAAGGCAGAACGAAGGAGCAGCAACAATGTGGCAAGAGTAATTTATCTTTTGAACATATTTGTATCCTGTTTTTCTGCAGATAAATAGGACTTGAAGATCTAGTTCGGCCTTTCTATTATTTATTTATTTATTAATATCCCATCTTTCTCCCGGGTGGGGGGAGAAGAAGAAGAAGAAAAGGAGGAGATGGAGAGTTGGATTTATACCCCCCCTTCAGTGGCCAAAGAAGTCTCAGAGCAGCTTACAATCTTCTTCCCTTCCTCTCTCCACAACAGGCACTCTGTGATTTCGGTGGGGCTGAGAGAGCTCTGAGAGAATTGCTTTTGAGAGAACAGCTCTCAGAGAACTTGTGACTGATCCGAGGTCACCTAGCAGCTGCCTATGGAGGAGTGGGGAATCAAACCTGGTTCTCCAGATTAGAGTTCGCCGCTCTTAACCACTACATGATACTCAATGGTACTCAAATAACTAGTTCTACCTTTTTGTGTCAAGCAGGTCAAATTTAATTATCTAAGTCTAAAACATTATGTAGAATATTAGCCTATTAGTAAGAAAGAGTGACCTTCTTATGAATGCCACTTATTAAGGCCTTCAAAAGGTCCTGAGAACCTCCCTTTGCTCACCTGTGACGGCATCAGCAGAAACAGGGCCGAGACGCTTGTGGCCGGAGACTCCGTAGAGGTTGAACCTGTATCTGTGGGAGGGAGCCAGGTTGGGGACGGTGACCTCGCGGGATCCTCCGTCCACGGGCAGCGCCTGGGGCTGTCTGTCTGCGTCCTTGTACTGAATCAGGAAGGAGTCAAAACTCCCTGCGGGGACGGTCCAGGAGAGATGGGCAGAGTCACTGGTAACATCAGAGACTCTGAACTCCTCTAGGCTGGGCTGGACTGGAGGTGCTGTTGGTAGTGGGGCTGAAAAACCAACAAGGAGAGAGCTGTTACTGGATGAAAGAATCACAATAAGAACAAGAAAAGGCAGAACGAAGGAGCAATAGCAATGTGGCAAGAGTAATCTATCTAGTGAACATATTTGTATCTTGCCTTTCTCCAGACAAATGGGACTTGAAGATCTAGTTCGGCCTTTCTATTATTTATTTATTTATTTATATCCCATCATTCTTCCTGGTGGGGGGAGGAAGAGGAGGAAGAGAGTTGGATTTATACCCCGCCCTTCACTAACCGAAGGAGTCTCAGAACAGCTTACAATCTCCTTTCCCTTCCTCTCCCCACAACAGACATCCTTTGAGGTAGGTGGGGCTGAGAGAGCTTTGAGAGAAACAGAACATTGACTGACCCAAGGTCACCCAGCAACTGCATGTGGACAAGTGGGGAATCAAACCTAGTTCGCCACTCTGAACCACTACATGATATTCAATGATACTCACAGGGGTCGTTTCGTAGAAAAAGAGCTAGGGGAACTCATTAGCATAACTCATTAGCCTGACATCACCGGAAGTGTGTCATAAGGCCACACCCCCTGCCATCACCGGAAGTGTGTCATAAGGCCACACCCCCTGCCATCACCGGAAGTGTGTCATAAGGCCACACCCCCTGCCATCACCGGAAGTGTGTCATAAGGCCACACCCCCTGCCATCACCGGAAGTGTGTCATAAGGCCACACCCAGCTACCTCGGAGAAGCTCCTGGATGGGGCTGGGAGTCCTTGCAGAGGCCACGTGGAGTGGCCTCGGCCAGGCAGAGGGGGAGGACGCCAACTTACCCTCCTGCTTCTTCCTCCTTCTGCAACAGAATGAGGCTGGAAGCAGAGGGCAGCCGGAAGAAGGGGCGGGGCTTCGTCGTGTGCCCCGCCCCCCTGCACCTCACTCGGGGGAACTGCGATCCCCTGCAATCCCCCCCGAAATGACCTCTGGATACTCAAATATCTAGTTCTACCTTTTCGTGTCAAGCAGATCAAATTTAATTATCTAAGTCTTAAAGCTTATGAGGAATATTAGCCTATTGGTTAGAAAGAGTGACCTTCTTATGAAGGCCACTTATTCAGGTCTTCAAAAAGGTCCGAAGAACCTCCCTTTGCTCACCTGTGACGGCATCAGCAGAAACAGGGCCGAGACGCTTGTGGCCGGAGACTCCGTAGAGGTTGAACCTGTATCTGTGGGAGGGAGCCAGGTTGGGGACGGTGACCTCGCGGGATCCTCCGTCCACGGGCAGCGCCTGGGGCTGTCTGTCTGCGTCCTTGTACTGAATCAGGAAGGAGTCAAAACTCCCTGCGGGGACGGTCCAGGAGAGACGGGCAGAGTCACTCGTAACATCAGAGACTCTGAACTCCTCTAGGCTGGGCTGGACTGGAGGTGCTGTTGGTAGCGGGGCTGAAAAACCAACAAGGAACAGACCAAGGAGAGAGCTGTTACTGGATGAAAGAATCACAATAAGAACGAAAAAAGGCAGAATGAAGGAGCAGCAGCAATGTGGCAAGAGTAATCTATCTAGTGAACATATTTGTATCCTGCTCTTCACCAGTTAAATGGGACTTGAAGATCTAGTTCTGCCCTTATATTATTCATTCATTCATTCATTCATTCATTCATACCCCGCCTTTCTTCCCAGTGGGGAGTCAATGCTCCCTCTAAGGCGTGGAGTCTTGCGAGCAAAAATTCTACTTTGTGAGCTACTGGCATTAAAGTTGTGAGTGAGCAATTTGGCTTCTGCATAAATTAGTTTGCTCTGGAGCCCTCCTTCCTGAGCGAAGACAAAAATGTGTGAGCCAGAAGCTAAAAAACTGTGAGCTGGCTCACACTAACTCAGCTTAGAGGGAACACTGATGGGGACCCAAAGCTGCTTACGTCATTTTCCTCTCCTACGGGTTTTTTGTTTTTGTTTTTTTTGGGTTTTTTTGTATTTTTCATATTTGCGTGTGTGTATGTGTATGAATGTGTGTGCACCTGGAAGTCATAGCGACCTCTGGTTACTGACCCCTACTGGGGGCCTGGAGGATGAGAGGTGGCCAAATAAAGCCTGCCCCCACCTCCCGATTCTGGTATTCTAAGGAGGTCTCCCATCCAAACACTTGCCAGAGTCGACGCTGCTTAGCTTGCAAGGTCTGGCGAGGTCGGGCTTGCCTCGGCTATCCAGGTCAGGGCTCCTCTCCTCCATTTTATGCTCACAACAACCCTGTGAGGTAGGCTAGGCTGAGAATGTGTGACTGGCCCAAGGTCACCCTGCAAGCTTCCATGGCAGAGTAGGGATTCAACCCTGGGTTTACCCAGATCCCAGTCTGGCACTTTAACCACTACTCTGCACTGCCTCTTGGTGGCTAGCCGATCAGACTTAATTATCTGAGTCTTAAAAACTATGAGGAATATTGACTCATGAATTATCTTAAAAAATGAAGTTCTTATGAAGGCCTGCTAGAAACGTTCCTTAGAGGCTCCCCTTGCTGACCTGTGACGGTATCTGCAGAAATGGGCCCGAGCCGTTTGCGTCCAGACATTCCATAGAGGTTGAACTTGTATCTGCGGGAAGGAGCCAGACTGGAGACGGTGACCTCACGGAAGACCCCCTCCACGGGCAACGCCTGGGGTCTCCCGTCAGCATCCTTGTACTGGATCGTGAAGGAGTCAAAGGTTCCCGTGGGGACGGTCCAGGAGAGGCGGGCAGAGTCACTGGTGACGTCAGAGATGGACAGCTCCCCCAGGCTGGGCTGGACTTGTGGAGCTGATGGTAAGGGGGCTGAAAAACAGACAAGGAGCAAATCAGAGAGAGAGAACTTACTAGACAGAGGAATCAAAGAAGGAGAGAGAAAAAGGAAGAACAGAGAGGAAAGTTGGGATTTGTCACATATGGCCTTCAAGCTACCCTTAAGAACTCTTCAGGGTCTGAGTGACCCTAAGATGCCCACAGTTGCTTTCCCTGAAAGTCCATTCTTTCATTATATATAAAAAATATCTGATGCAAAATTGTCATATATGGGTAGGGTTCTTCCTCAGTGTCGCAAATAGCTCTGCAAACTGTTCAAATTATGAATGTAAATTTGCCTAGACTTGTCTGGTCGACAAATAGTTCTTCCATTACTTCCATTCTGGGTGATGGGCAAGGAATGATACAGAAAACCAAAGCCCTTCTTTCTGATCATCAGAGATTGATTGATTGATTTAAGAAAATGTATACTTGCTTCTCCTGCTCTAGATAGCTTGTAACAGAGACCCAGGCTGTGATCACACACACTAAACAATCCACTTCCAATGCACTTTCGAGTTGGATTTTGCCAGTTCACACAGTAAAACCCAGTTGTAAATCGGATTGAAAGTGGATCGTGTGTATGACCACAGCCAGAGGCCCATTCTGCATCCAGCATTCGCTCCGCTATTTTACCAAACCCACGTTGGAACAGAAATTCCCCTCCACACTGCATGCCGGCTTTGACTTCCTCTGATCTCTTGGTTTTATGGTACTGTCTGCATAGATTTATGTCCGTTCTTTGGCCGTTCAGGGGTGACTCTACAGTCAGTACTGCTTGTCCCGGGGTATCTGAATGTTGTTTTGAGCCAAATCTTCTGTCCCAGTGTAGGTTTGGTAAAACAACGGAGCGAATGATGGCCCCAGTCTCTAATCTTTCTTTCCTCATTAGGCATTCCCACGTTCAAGCCTGGAGTCCTAATCAGGAGGGCCAGAAGCCTGTATTTTCCTCTTGGAGAATGAAAGTTACCTCAAGGTGCTGAAAATTACACCTGATGCTAATTTCTGTGGGACCATGGCCCAAAGCACAGGATAAATAGACACCCCTTCATCCTGACCATCAGGGCTATTTTTGGGCAGGAACGCACAGGAACGGAGTTCCGGCTGGCTCCCAAGTTGGCCACGCCCAGCAGGAACTCATTAGCATAATAGGCCACACCCAACAGCAGAAACTCATTAGGATTGGCTACATTAGGGGTGTGTGGCCTAACATGCAAAGGAGTCCCTGCTACAAAAAAAGGCCCTGGGTTTTGACAACAAACAAGGTAAACAGAATGAGAAGCAAAAGGTGGGTGTGGCTGGATAACCACACTTCTGGTACCATGGGGGTGCGGCCTAATGTGCTAATGAGCTGTGCTGTCAGGGGTGTGGCCCAATATGCTAATTAGTTCCTGCTGTTGGGTGTGGCCTATTATGCTAATGAGTTCCTGCTGGGCTTTTTCTACAAAAAGAGCCCTGCGTGACCATAACATGAAAATAAAAGGATAATACTCCTGAAGGTGGTGTCCCTTTCTGGTATCCCTTCACATGGGAAAGTGAGGTCTGTGGTAGCCTGATCCAGGGCTTCCTCTGTGGTGGCCCCTCTGGTATGCGGCCGCTAGAGATACGCTGAGCACTTTCCTAGATCCTGGCTCTTTTCATTGCAGATTGTAAAACCATATTGTTTCTGGGAGCTTTTAAAAGTGGCCAACTTTTGGTTTCTGTGATTCCGAGCAGGGAAGGAGAATGGTTTTAGTGGTCAGGGCTGTGGTAGGGTTGCCAAGTCTGAGCTGGAAGATTCCTGGAGATTTTGGGGGGTGGAGCCTGAGGAAGGTGGGGTTTGGGGAGGGGAGGGACTTCAATGGGGTATAAGCCACACAAACTGCCATTTTCTCCTGGGGAACTGATCTCTGTAGTCTGGAGCAGGGTTGCCAGGTCCTTCCAAGTCCTCGGTGAGGGACTTTGGGGGGGCCTTACTGGAGGGGGCAGGTATGTCCCCGATGTGATGATGTCATGCAGAAGTGACATCATCACGTTGCGGACCAGTGCCCCACTGCTTCTCACCAAAAGCGTTTGTGGCTTGGAGTGCAGGTGCGCGGCCCCCACTTCTTCCCAACAGCATTTAAAGAATCCCTTTAAATGCTGCTGGGAAGGGGGGGGGCACCATGCACGCCTGCACTCCAAGCCATGAATTTGCAGCCTGGAGTGCAGGCACACTTCCTCCCTCGTTCCTGCAAAATGTAAAGGGCCCTCCAGCTGATCAGCGCACCACGTGCTCCTGCCGGCCAGCTAGAGGGACCTTTAAATCTTGCAGTAGGGGTGGCCGGGTGGTCACTATTAGGGGCAGGGCTTCCTCCCCACCGGCCAGCTGGCTGGCAGTGGGAAGGAGCCCCTGAAATATGGGGAACCCCCGCTGAGGACGGGGAGGGGGGTCGGGGAACCCTACTCCGAAGATCAGCTGTAATTCTGGCAGATCTGCCCCACCTGGAGGATGGCAATACCAGTTTGTGGATTTTTATATGTTAATTTTATTTTTGTGCTAATTAGCCAGTTTGGTGTAGTGGTTAAGAGTGCAGGCTCTGATCTGGGAGAACCGGGTTTGAGTCCCCACTCCTCCACATGCAGCCAGCTGGGTGACCTTTGGTCAGTCACACGTTCTCTCAGAGCTGTTCTCCCAAGAGCGGTCCTCTCAGAGCTCTCTCAGCCCCACCTACCTCACAGGGTGTCTCTTGCGGGGAGAGAAGGGAAAGGAGTTTGTAAGCCGCTCTGAGACTCCTTGTGGAGGGCGGGGTATAAATCCAATCTCTTCTTCTTCTTCTAGTGTAGTGGTTGGAACCATTTTAATACAGGATTTTAATAAATAAATAACAGAGAAGGGCAGGAGAGAAAAGCCAGAAATATATTAAAAAAGACTTCTTTGCTGCAACGGCTGAGGGAGGGGGAGGGGAGGGCGGGAGAGAACAATGGCGGCTTCCCTGCCCTTCTCAGCAGCGGCCAAAAATGTGGTGTGGGGGTGGAGGCAATGAAGGAACATGATGACAGGGCTTAAGTATGCCTGCATGTAATGAGGCAAGGAGGAGGATTTGACAAGGGGAAGCCGTTTCCAAGATAAGCACAGCGTTTAGCTCTGACCTCAGCGGCAGCCCGGACAAATCCAGTCTTTGATGCTTAAAATCTGCAGGAATATCGACTACACAGTTCCAAGATACGTGTGTGTGTGTGGGGGGGAATCACTTAGTAGGGCCTACGGAAGATTTACGAAACCACCCCACTCCACCCTTGCTGACCTGTAACGGTGTCGGCAGAAAGAGGGCCAAGGCGTTTACGGCCGGAGACTCCGTAGAGGTTGAACTTGTATCTGCGGGAAGGAGCCAAGTCGGAGACGGTGGCTTCACGGAAGACCCCCTCCACGGGCAACGACTGGGGTCTCCCGTCAGCGTCCTTGTACTGGATCACGAAGGAGTCAAAGGTTCCGGTGGGGACGGTCCAGGAGAGGCGGGCAGAGTCGCTGGTGACGTCAGAGACGGAGAGCTCCCCTAGGCTCGGTTGGGCTGGTGGAGCTGTTGGCAAAGGGGCTGAAAAACAGACAAGGAACAGATCAAAAGGCTAGCCAACTCCAGATTAGATGGGAGAGCTTTGCTGCTTGGGGGGGCAACAGTGGGGGGGGGCTTATAGAGTTCTGGCCCCATTGGTGGACCTCCTGATGGCACCTGGTTTTTGGCCGCTATGTGACACAGAGTGCTGAACTGGAGGGGACTGACCCAACTTGGCTTCTCTTAATTTCTTAAGATTGGGAAGTCCTTGGAGATTTGGTGGCAAAGACTGGAAGTGGGCAACATTTGGGGAAGATAGGTGTTGGGTGATAGTGAGATATTGAAAAAAATGGTATTTAGCAGAGATAACTTTATTTATTTATTTTAACTTTAGACTTGATATACCGCCCTAACCCCCCCCCCCCCTGGGGTGGACACTGGGCGGGTCAAAATTCTAGCATGGGAAGGGTAACTGGGATGAAAATAACAACAGAGCATAATCGGCTACATCCTTACACTACAAAGACAAAACTAGAAGAGAAGAGAGTATGGCTACTCTTCTTGTTCTTCAGAACACCAAACAAAGACGGGAAGAGAAGCCATAAAATGCTAATACACCTTGACACTTTAGTCCCAATCAAATTCCTAGGTCAGGGAGAAAATTCCCGGGTATTCTACAGCTAAAGAACATTGGTTACATGAGAAACATGTGACTTCCTGTGAGTAACATAAACAAACCTTTAACCCCAGATATACTGAGTGTTTTCAACTTGTAATACCCAACAGTAGGGGCCTCAGCGGGGTATAAGATGAAGAAGAGATCCCCCGCCCTTCACTGCCCAAAGGAGTCTCAGAGCAGCTTACTATCTCCTGTCCCTTCCCCTCCCCACAACAAACACCCTGTGAGGTGGGTGGGGCTGATAAGAGCTCTTTTGAGAACTGCTCATGAGAGAACTGTGACTGACCCAAGGTCACACCAGCAGCTGCATGTGGAGGAGTGGGGAATCAAAGTCTGCGCTCCTAACCACTACACCAAACTGGCAGCATCTGTCAAAGAAATATGTACTGTGTGTGTAAACGTGTTATACTCATTTGTTACTTAAGTTGTAATTCCCTTGTTATATCAATAAAAGTTGTATTAAAAAAAAGAAAAGAAATATGTCGGGGAGGGGCCGTGACTCAATGGAAGAGCCTCTACTTGGCATGCTGAAGATCCCAGGTTCAATCCCAGGCATCTCCAGTCAAAAGGATCATGTAAAAGGTGAGGTGAAAGACCTCAGCATGAGACCCCGGAGAGCCACTTCCAGTCAGAGCAGACAATACTGACCTTGTTGGACCAAGGGTCTGATTCAGTGTAAGGCAGATTCTTGTGTTGATAGCTGGGATTTTGCTGAGTACTAAGAGGCTGGCTAGTTGCCTAACTTATATAAATAAAAGAGGCTGGCTATCTGCCTAACTTATATAAAATAAATAAATAATCCATTTAAACAAACTTGCATTTTTTTGTTTAATATAGAATATTTCACATCAACACATGAAGCCACACCATTGCCCCATTCAGGTTGGCGCTCTCTGCTCAGGTAGAGGTCTTTCCCATACCTGCTCCCGGACCCTTTTAAACTGGAATGACTGGGGACTGAACCTTCTGCATGCCAAGCAGATGCTCTACCACTGAGCCAAGTCCCCATTCCTCCCTCCAATCTAGGGAGGAGGAAAGGAACTTCTTCTTTTTTGCTGCAGCCAATTTATGGTGATCCCTTAGGAGTTCTCAAGACATGAGACGTCCAGAGGTGGTTTGCATTGCCTGTCTCTGTGTACAGACCCTCGACTTCCTTGGTGGTCTCCCATCCAAACGCTGACCAGGATTGATCCTGCTTAGCTTCTGTGGTCTGGTGAGATTGGTCTGGCCTGAGCTATCCAGATCAAAGCAGGAAAAGGACTACATAGGGCGCAAAAGTCCCTCTTCTTTATTGCATTGTGAGATCAGCTCTGAGAAGCCACAGTGCTTAACTTGGAACTATTGGCTGACTGCCTCTTTCCCCTCTCTTGTGGAGCTTAAGGGAGCACACAAAGAGATCACCAGGAGGTTTTTCAGCAGGCATGGACCAGATTGAGACCAGTTTAGCTACCAGCAAGGCAGCTGCATTGTGCTCCCTTCAACCAAAAAGCTATTCACAAGATCCAGGACAAACACAGGATGGCACAGATGCCGTCAAACAACCAAACATCCTAGCTTAACTCACTCCTAAGCCCTTGCTATGAAGGTAACAGCATTCACAACTAACAGAAAGCAATGTGAATATTAGCACCATTGGTTGGCATCTGATGAAAGATGTGTAGGAAATAGGATTTACCTTTGGTGTGCGCATATATATTGCTGGAGGGGAGGTCTATCAGTGGCTACCAGCCATGGTGAATAAAGGGAGCCTTCACACTGAGAGGCACCAATCCTCTGAATCCCAGAGCCAGGAGGCAACATCAGGGGAAGGCCTTGGCCTCTATGCTGTGTTGACTCTCCAGAGGGACTGGCTGGCCACTGTGTGAGACAGGATGCTGGACTAGATGGACCCCTGGTCTGATTCAGCAGGCTTCTTCTTACGTTCTTACGTTTGTACAGTTATATGTTTCAGTTCATTTAATCTGATGTTTACAATGTCATATCTAATGTGTCAACTTCATTATAATGGATGGGATGTTCTGCTTGAACATTGCATGCGAGCAGTGCTTCCTACGAATTTTTTTCCCCTTCTCATTTTTAAGAGCCACAAAACGTCAAAGCCCCCCCCCCCTTGCTGACCTGTGACGACATCAGCAGAAATGGGGCCGACGCGCTTGCGGCCAGAGAGTCCGTGGAGGTTGAACTTGTATCTGTGGGAAGGAGCCAAGTTGGGAATGGTGACCTCGCGGGATCCTCCGTCCACGGGCAACGCCTGGGGTTGACCCTCTGCATCTCTGTACTGGATTGTAAAGGAGTCAAAGGCTCCCGTGGGGACGGTCCAGGAAAGGCGGGCAGAGTCGCTGGTGATGTCAGAGACGGACAGCTCCCCTAGGCTGGGCTGGACTGGAGGTTCCGTAGGCAAGGGGGCTGAAAAACAGACAAGGAGCAAACCAAAGACATGGCTGTTACTGGATAAGAGAACCACACAAGGCGGAATGAAGGAGAGAGAGTTGCCAGTGGTCAAGCCATCCTGAAGACCTCTCCAGTACCTTGCTGGCCCTAAGAAGCATTTCACACGAACACATGAAGCTGCCTTAACTGGTCCATCAAGGTCAGCACTGTCTATCCAGGGTCTCAGGCAAAGGTCGTTTCACATCACCTGCTACCTGATCCTTAACTGGAGATGCCGGGGTTTGACCTTGGAACCTTCAGCATACCAAGCAGACTCTCTTCCACTGAGCCACAGCCCCTTCCTTACACAGTTGCTTCCCCCTTGAGACTGTTGTTTTAGTTAAAGCAGAAAAAAGTAAACCTCCATGGGATAAACTATCGAAGATGCCTGGGGCTTTGCCTAAGTATTTTCAAACACATAAATAAGTAGGGGAAAGCGCACTAAACGGTCGCTGCCGATCCAAATCCCTGGTCCTAATACAAACAACCTCCACACAACATCTGTCGAGTAGAGCCAAGCGCCAAGAAGAGCTCGGCAACCTGCGTCAATTATTTCACTCGAAGCAAATCTGCCGACATGGGTTTATTTGACAGGGCTGCTTCTCTCTTCCTCCCTGGCTTGGGGATGGGAAAGAAACGACGCAGGACACCAAAATCCCGTCCCCCTATTTGCGTTGTGAGAGCAGCTTTGAACGATCGGAAGCACACAACTGTATAATGAAGAACTACTACGTGATTGCGTTCAGAACCCGTGGAATTCAAAGTACAGAAAAGTCTGGGCAGGCAGGATGGTCATCTGTGCACTCACCAGGCCAGGCCAGCAGAACTGAACTAGACAACCATAGCCTGGAATCAAGAGCTCACCAAAAACGAAGGCTGGTGCAGTCCAATAACCCAGCACCTCATCCCATCTCAGCTCATTCCTAAATCCTTGAGGTGGTGAAGCAGTACTTGTGACTGCCTGGAAACTATCTGGGAGGGACTGTGGCGCAGTGGTTGAACATCTGGTTGGCATGCAGAAGGTCCCTGGTTCAGTCTCTGGCCTCTCCCATTAAAGGATCTGGAAGCAGGTGGTGTGAAAAACCTCTGCCTGAGACCCTGGAGAGCCACCGCCAGTGTGAGTAGATGATGCCGACTTTGATGGACCAAAGGTCCGATTCAGCAGAAGGTAGCTCTATGTGTTCATGTGAATATAAATATGCCTTATTGGTATATATGTAAGTGCCACAAAATCAGAGCTGACTTAAGGTGATGCCAGCACGGGGCCTTGATGGCAAGGGAGAAGCAGAGGTGGTTTGCCATTGCTTTCCTCTGCAGAGGCTTCCTTGGTGGTCTCTCATCTAAGTATCGACCCTGTTTAGCTCCCGAGCTCTGACAAGATTAGGCCATGCCATGCCGCCTTGGCTCCCAGCTTATTGGCACAAGACACAGAAACAAGGATTTACCTGCAGTATCTATGTTTCTGACTGCATACTGATATGCTGCCAATATAGTTAGCAAAACATTTATGTTGTTTTACCAAAGAGGCCACATTTAAAAACTCTAGTTGGAAAAGCTTCGAATTTGACTAGCACGTCAGGATTCTTTAATATTACCTTTGGAATTTTAGGGGGGGGGGAGATGACTTTGTTGTAACCTAGGACTGGACAATAAATGAGGAGGAGGAGGAGGAGGAGGCGGAGAAGCAAGAGGAGGAGATTGGATTTATACCCCACCCTTCACTCGGAGTCTCAAAGCGGCTCACAATCTCCTTCCCTTACTCTCCTCACAACAGACACCCTGTGAGGTAGGTGGAGCTGAGAGAGCTCTGAAGGAACTGTGACTGTCCCAAGGTCACCCAGTAGCTGCGTGTGGAGGAGTGGGGAATCAAACCTAGTTCTCCCAGATTAGAGTCTGTGCACTTAACCACTACACCAAACAAGATGGACTTCATTAACTGGAATCCCTAAAATGAAACTTAGATGTCCCTTTATCTTCCATTTTGATGTCCATGATATACATCTATTCATGTAAGGAAAAATGTGAACCATTATTTTGTTATCCACCACTGACCACGGCATCTCACTGTCAGACCCATTAGGTACCCATTAGGTACCTACTGTCATGCCTGCCCCTGACCCAGCGCCTGGGAGCTCTGAAACTGAGGACTCCATGCCTTTAACACCATCGGAGGCACGGGAGTCTTTGTCAAACCTAAGTGCCGGAAAGGATGAGCACCAGCCTCCAGAACAGCCTGCATCTGAAACCGATCAGGCAGTGCCTGGCCCCAGCAGCACGCCCTTATTGGCACAAGACACAGAAACAAGGATTTACCTACAGTATCTATGTTTCTGACTGCATACTGATATGCTGCCAATATAGTTAGCAAAACATTTATGTTGTTTTACCAAAGATGCCACATTTAAAAACTCTAGTTGGAAAAGCTTTGAATTTGACTAGCACGTCAGGATTCTCTAATATTACCTTTGGAATTTTAGAAGAGAAAAAAAAAGATGACTCTTTTTTGTAACCTAGGGCTGGACAATAAATGAGGAGGAGGAGGAGCAGGAGGAGGAGATTGGATTTATACCTCACCCTTCACTCGGAGTCTCAGAGCAGCTTACAATCTCCTTCCCTTCCTCTCCTCACAACAGACACCCTGTGAGGTAGGTGGAACTGAGAGAGCTCTGAAGGAACTGTGACTGGTCCGCGTTTTGACGACCCCCTGGCTCTTGATCTTCGGCTCTGCACCCTGACTTTGACGCTTGCCTATCTGGACTCTGACTCTCGGTAACGCTCTGACTACGGCTTGGCTTTATGTATTGGGACTTTTGCTCTGATTGTTTTGCTCTCTTTCTGGCTTGACTCTTGGACCGGACTGTGAACTCCCCCTCTCTGCCTTGCCCCACTGGCCCTGTCGTGACACCTACAAGTTCTGATGCGATAATATGTGAACATACTAACAGCCAAGTTAGTATGAAATAACAGATCGTATCTTGTGCCTGCAAATTGTGAGCTACGTACACTTCTGAAAAGATTTTAAAGCTAGGAAAAGCCTTTAAACTATCCCTCGCTGACCTGTAACGACATCAGTGGAAATGGGGCCGACACGCTTGCGACCGGAGACACCATAGAGGTTGAACTTGTATCTGCGGGAAGGAGCCAGACTGGAGATGGTGACCTCGTGGGATCCTCCATCCACCGGCAACGCCTGAGGTCTGCCATCAGCATCCTTGTACTGGATCGTGAAGGAGTCGAAGCTTCCCGTGGGGACGGTCCAGAAGAGGCGAGCAGAATCGCTGGTGACGTCAGAGATGGACAGCTCCCCTAGGCTGGGCTGGACTGGTGGAGCTGTTGGTAAAGGGGCTGAAAAACAGACAAGGAGCAAATAGGGGGAAAATTAGGTTATTGGATGGAGAGGAGAGGCGGGCAGAGTCGCAGGTGACGTCAGAGATGGACAGCTCCCCTAGGCTGGGCTGGACTGGTGGAGCTGTTGGTAAAGGGGCTGAAAAACAGACAAGGAGCAAATAGGGAAAAAATTAGGTTATTGGATGAACTGAGCAAGAAGGCAGAGAAATGAAGAAAGGAGGAGAAATGTACAGACAAGGAGCAAATAGGGGGAAAATTAGGTTATTGGATGGAGGAACTGAGCAAGAACGCAGAGAAATGAAGAAAGGAGGAGAAATGTGGGAGGGGGGGTCACTTTTGGCAGCAGGTCATCCTTCCACAGTATCTGGCTGGTCACAGAGCAGAGCTCATTAAATGGCTCCTTCTCCTCCAAGTCTGAGGTGTTAGCAAAAAAAATCTCCATGCAACGTCTGTCAAGAGCAGCTAGGGTTTTGCCTGGTTCCAAGAAAGGCTTTGCAGACAACATAAAATTATTTTTTAATATATACATTTCCCCTTTCTCTAGTGTTGGGGTTGGGAAACAAGCTACCCCTGCATTTGGCTAGTGAAGTATCCCACCTCCGAGGTTTCCTGGGGGATTCCCACTTTCAAGCTTAAGTTCATCACCGTAAGGGCCACAAACTACTCAGTACTAAGTCTCATTCAATACAAATCCTGCTTTTCCTTGGAATCGTCTCCCCCTGTCCTTCTTTTTCATCCCCGTGAACTTCTTCCTACTCTCTTAGGGTTAGATGGTCCTTTTCAGCCTGGTGTTAAGAGTGGTGAACTCAAATTTGGAGAACTGGGTTTGATTACCCCCCTCCTCCTCCACATGAAGCCTGCTGGGTGACCTTGGGCCAGTCACAGTTCTCTCAGAACTCTCTCAGCCCCACCCACCTCACAAGGCACCTGTTGTGGGGAGAGGAAGAGAAGACGATTGTAAGCCACTTTGAGGTTGCGGTCACATGTGTGCAATAACGCGGGGGGGAAGCGAGGCTATTTGCTCTGTAGGAATTTGACCCGCATTTGCACAATCACACAGTCCCTGGGAGCTGCGGGGGCAGCCTGCCACTGTGTGATCAGATGCAACTGCAGGTGACTCTGGGGGGTGGTGGTTTGCTGCGTGTTTCCGGTGTGCTTCAACGAGGGATCAATGATTCGCATCTCTGCACTGAGTGCTCCCTATGCAGTGTGCGATGATGCGCGTACCAAAACGGGGGGAAAAACAATGGCATGGAGTTGGGATGGCCTGATTAGACCATCCTGACACCATGGGAGCACTCTGGAGCAATCACACAGGGGAAAGTCTGTTCCTGGACTGTAGCAACCCGTTTGCTATCGGACTTTCCCTAGTGTCTTTTTACCCCGCTTCTGAGGCGGGTGCAGGACACTTAGCAGATGTTCTCGTGTGATCGCGCCCTTAAAATGTGCCCGGCACTCGCGCTTATGGCACGGCTAATTCTGCATGTGATCACAACCTGAGACTCCTTAAGGGTAGCGAAAAGTGGGGTATAAAACTCTTCTTCTTCTTCTTCTTCTTTCATGGTATTCACGAATCAATGGCTTGGGGGGGGGTCACAAATATTGTTTTTCACTTTGTGTCCCACTAATGATATTGCTCATTATTTTTAGAAGAAGAAGAAGAAGAAGAGATTGGATTTATACCCCACCCTTCACTTGGAGTCTCAGAGCGGCTTACAAACTCCTTTCCCTCCCCCCTCCCCAGGACAGACACCCTGTGAGGTGCGTGGGGCTGAGAGAACTCTGACACAAACGGCTCTTTTTCAAGGACAGCTGTGCCAGAGCTTGCGACTGACCCAAGGTCACATCAGCAGGTGCAAGTGGAGGAGTGGGGAATCAAACCCGGTTCTCCCAGATTAGAGTCCGCACACTTAACCACTACACCAAACTGGCTGCAGTCCAATTGAAAAAATGAATAGTGACTTTGACTGGATGCAAAGTGAAGAACTTAAACCAGTTTCGCTCCCTTGGGAACAAGAATTGATAATGCACCATTGATTTATGAATATTGTGAGGGAACCACCTGGCTGTGAGAAACAGGTAACAGTTACATTAGAAGAAGGATAGACAGAACTTCAAAGGGGACAGTTTCCCTGAGAAATCTTGTCTTTGCCAACCACTAAAAAGGTTGTTGCTGCAACTGCAATGTAAAAAATCACCACAGCAACATAGAAAACACTGGAATGCAACGGACTGCGAACAGCACCCTCTGGATTCTTTGTTAAAACTGAGTGGAAAACTTGATGGCAATTCTAGAATAATCAGCAAGCACTGAAACATTCCAGCTTTTCTTAGTGATTTGGGATACCCCGGTGAAGAATTCTGATGCAGACCCAACTTAAGGGGCTACTGACACTCTCCACACTAGATATCTGAAAAAGAAAAATGGTGAAGGAAAGACCAAGCTGAAGAAAGGAGAGATGTACATATGGTGGAAGCTGGTTACATTTGGTTATGCGGCTTCTAAACCCTAGGCAGGAAAGATAATACCATAGAGAGATCCCTCCCCCACTTTGGCTAGAGCAGCCGTTGCTGACCTGTGACAGCTTCAATGAAGACAGGGCCCAGACGCTTCCGACCTGAAATGCCATAGAGGTTGAATTTGTATCTGTGAGAAGGAGCCAAGTCATGGACATGGAAAGACCGTAGGACCCCGTCGATGGGGAGGGCTTGTGGTTGGTCTTCAGCGTCTTGGTACTGAACAATAAAAGAATCAAAATTTCCCGCCTCAACATTCCAGGACAGGTCAAGGGAACTGGGAGTGATGTTGTCCGCCAACAGCTCCCCTAGTCTGAGGGGTGGTGTAGGTTTTGCCATCTGTGAAGCTGGAACAGAAACAACCAGGGAAAGAATGAGAGAAAACCACTTTCTGCAGAGGACAGAGAGAAGGAGGCAAAGGTGTGAAAGCAAGCTGGTGCAGGGTAGGACGTGAGTTGTAAATCAGGACACTCTCTCTGAAATACAGTACGCTGGATTCCCTAGGAACGACTATTAAACTAATATAATTTTTTTTAAAGATAATTCTACACAGGGCTTTTTTTGTAGAAAAAGCCCAGTAGGAACTCATTAGCATAACAGGCCACACCCATCAGCAGAAAACTATGCCACACCCTAACAGTACAGCTCATTAGCATATTAGAGGAGGAGCCTAGTGTGGCCCTTGGCTTGCCTAGGTGCCCCGCGGCTGCAGGGAGCCCACACAAACTGGCCCTTGGACAGGCAGGGGAAGGCATGGAGAGGCATTTAAATACCTCCTCAATCCTTCTAGGGGGCCCCCCTGGCCCGCCCACCTTGGAGTCACCAGGGGGTCGTTCTCCAGGCCTTCCCTCTGTAGCCACAGTTTTGGCTGTAGTGGGCATGGCCAACTCTGAAGCCAGCCTAAGTAAACAATCTTGTTAGTTATTTCAATTTTTGCGACCTTGGAGATCTCGTCTTTCTCTTCTTGTGTGCAATTCTTGGTCATTATCATGGGAATATATGATTCAGAAACTGAGAATATGGGACTGTGGTAATGATTTTCTTTCAATGATTTCGGCAATATATAAAGAACAAGAGGCTAAAATTATAATTAATGGAGAATTGACAGAAAGATTAGCAATACAAAAAGGAACTAGACAGGGGTGCCCCTTATCTCCATTACTAATATTAAATGATCTAGTATCGGGGCAAACGGCGGCGCAACATCGAGGCAGCTCTAGTGTGAAATCAGCCTTTCTTTATTTTAGAATGCTGCAGAACTGCTCCAGGGTGGAGGCATTTGATAGGTCAGTGAATCAGCCAATCAACACTGCACACAGCTGGCTTCTAATGCAAAACCTTTTCCCCCTGACCTCAGTTCAGGAAAGGATGAGATAGGTTTTACAAGAATGTGGTGATATATGCACTCGGAGTTGTAATTGTTTAGACAATGTATATGCTCTTTCTCCAGAGACCTTCTCAAGCCCAGCCAGAAAGGGAGAGAACAATTTTCAGAGAAAAAAGTTATTGATATTGTGGGCCTGCAGCTGACCTGTGACAACATCAATGGAAACCGGACCAACTCTCTTGCGACTGGAGACGCCGTAAAGACTGAATTTGTATCTGTGGGAAGGTGCGAGGTTGGAGAGGATGACTTCACGGGAGCCTCCGTCCACAGGAAGAGACTGGGATCTCCCTTCCACATCCTTGTAAAGAATCAGGAAGGAGTCAAAGCTCCCCGTAGAGACACCCCAGGAGAGGCGGAGTGAATCGGTAGTAACGTCAAAGGCCGAGAGTTCTCCCAGGCTAGGCTGCGGAGTCAGTACTTCTTCTGGGGGTGCTGGCATGGGGGATACAAGAAAGAGAAAGGGGAGTGAAGGATATTGCATCCACAGGGGTTCTGCTCCTGTAATAATTTGGCCGTGATTAGAAAAGTACTACACAGGCAAGAAAAGACTATGCCATGATAGGGTGTTTTGTTTTTTTGCCTGCAAGTCACAGCTGAGTTATGGTGAGTGACCCTGTGGGGTTTTCAGGGCAAGAGATGTTCAGTGGTGGTTTGACATTGCCTGCCTCCATGTCATGACCCTGGACTTCTGTCATGATCCTAGGACTATAGTATTTATTTATTTATTACTTCAACTTTTACCCCGCCCTCCCCGCCAAGTAGTGCAGCCTACAGGCTCTAGGGAGGCCTAGTGGCTCCAGGGAAGCCTGTATTATAGTAGGGCTGCCAAGTGGGGGGGGTAAACCCCTGCTTCGGAGGCCCGATTTCCGCCACCGCGGAATCGGGCCCCGGGGGGAACTCTGCCCCCCCGAAGCGCAGCGTGGCTGCGTCACCAGAGGTGACGCAACCACGTCAATCACGTTGGGGGCGTGGCCCTGATCAGATCGTCGGAGGGAAAACTCTATGGTTTTCCCTCCGACAATCGGGGCCACGCCTTCAACGTGATCGATGTCGCGCATCACTTCTGGTGATGTGCTGGTGCCACGCGTGCGCATCGAAGGACAGCTCTCGGAGCCCGCCGAGGCTCCCCCGCCGGTAGGATATTTTTACTTGGCAACCCTAATTATAGTGACTACAGGGCCTACATTTCCCAGGTTCCCTCTGACCCTGTGATTGGTTATCAGGGGATTTGGAGGGAAAACGTCCACCAGCAGAGTAGAGGGTGGTGCCTGGGAAGAAGGAATAAAAGGCCTGGCCCAAAGTGGGAGGGTGTTCACTCACAGGGAGCAGAGCTGGTGAAGCTGCTCCAGAAGGAGGGGTCCCTCATCCAAAAGGAGCGAGTCAGTTTGAAGCCAAATACCTGGAGAAGGTTATGTGCAGTATAGTCAGATGTGTTAGGATTTCTTATTTCGCTGGTTTTCCTACCTTTACGGTGCTCATTTTTCCTATATGTTATTGGACTGTAGTAGTTGTTAAATCTCTTTAATAGAAATAGTTTGTTACACTGTCTCAGTCCTCAGGCCTCATTTTGTCACTTATCAGGGGAAACCTACTGAAAAAGGAGTGTATAAAGGGGTAGGGTGGGTGCTCTGGGCCCTCCTGAGGAGACCCATACCAGAGTGGTGGCAGCCATTAGAGAACCTTGCTAGCCGCTTCCCTCGACGACTTCTTTGGTGGTCTCCTTTCCAAATACTGACCAGGGCCGACCTCGCTTAACTTACGAGATCTGACAAGATCAGGCTAGCCTGGAGTATCCAGGTCAGGGCTGCCATGATAGTACCCATGATAAACTCACCGCCTTCCCACACACAACAATAAGATTATAAAGATGCTGTGGTAATTGAGGCCCCAGTATTACACGATGTAAGGAACGCGTCACGCATTTCCTCATTACATCTCCTTGGAAACATTTAGACAAGGCCATGGTCCAGGCTAGCCTGATTTCATCAGATCTTGGAACCTAAGCAGGATCGGCCCTGGTTAGTACTTGGATGGGAGACCACCGAGGAAGCCCAGGGTTGCTAGTTTGGTGTAGTGGTTAAGTGCACAGACTGTAACCTGGGAGAAGAGAACTGGGTTTGATTCCATACTCTTCCACATGCAGCTGCTGGAGGACCTGGGGCAAGCCATAGTTCTCTGAGCTGTTCTCGAAAGAGCAGTTCTTGAAAGAGCTCTCTCAGCCCCACCTACCTCACAGGGTGTCTGTTATGGGGAGGGGAACGAAAAGGAGATTGGAAGCCGCTTTGAGACTCCGAGTGAAGGGCACGGTATAGATTCAGTCTCTTCTTCTTCTTCTTCTTGGCAGGCAATGGCAAACCACCTCTGTTAAGTTCTTGCCTTGAAAGCCCTACAGAGTCACTGTAAGTTGGCTGCAACTTGATGGCACTTTCCACCACCATCACTGTATTACTGAAAGAGGTCTATCGACCATCCAGTAATGTGGATCTCGATCCCTTCACCTTCATATGTTGTGGTCCTGATCCAAATCAGGTCTGTGAGCATCTGGGAACTCAGTTCTGACCATGAAACTCCCAGAGCACATATGTTGGCAGGGCCCAAAGGGGACGTGCAGGGGACACAAGGACATTAAATTTTTTTTTAAAAAAAATTGCTGACTTGTAAATGGGTCCTAAAGTCAAAAGCAATTGTGACAGGAATAAACCCAGATTCATCCCATTTATCCCCACCACACTCCTCTCTCTTTATCTTCCTGATAAATGTAAGCTCCTTGGAATAAGGGACTGTTTTTGGTTGTTACAAGCACATTAGCAGCATTATGAAAGCAAATAATCATCAGACGTATCCCAGGCAGAGAGACGTGACCCTCCATCAAAAGGGGCCTCTAGAATCCAGGGATCAAAAGGGAGGCCTGGAAGATATTGGGAAAAAAATCACATTATGACACATCATATCATCAGCTGCTGCAGGTGCACCCTGAGAAAAAGAGCTGTGAATGGGACAAAAAGAGAGCTCAGAAACAGTTACAGCTGTTATCAGTCAATTCAGCTACTGCTGACCTGTGACAGCATCCACGGAGAGAGGGCCGAGACGCTTGTTGCCAGAAATGCCGTAGAGGTGGAACTTGTATCTCCGGGAGGGCTCCAAGTTTGGGATGGTGAGGGTGCGGAAAGCCCCCTCCACGGGCAACGACTGAGATTTCCCTTCTGCATCTTTGTATTGGACCAAGAAGGAATCAAAATTCCCAGTGCGAACAATCCAGGAGAGACGGAGAGAGTCGCCGGTGATGTCAGATGCTGCCAGTTGCTCCAGACTGGGCTGAACAGGAACCCTCTCTGTAGTCACCTCTGGCGATGTTGCTGTTGCAGCTAAAAGAGAGAACGATTGGAATGCAACTTGGAGGGGGGAAAGAAGCAGAGGGCATGGATTATGGACCCTGGCCCTTATTCTCCTTCTCAGTGAGGATGCCTGCATAAGCTTGTCATTTGCCTGTCTGTGGCAGGTAAACCCCTGTCGTCAGCCCCCATCCTCACTGTCAAGCAGAATGGGGGAAATGGCCCCCATTGTGACTCTCTAGGAATTTCCCCATCTCTCTATGGTAAAGATTAAGGGAAATACCTAGAATGTCAACCAGAAGTGACATCACATCCTCCCCAAACTCCACTCCCTCCAGTACTCCCTTCAAAACCTCCCAGCATTTGCTAAGACAGTGGTGGCAACCTTATACCTGCATCACAATTCAAGCTGATAACTTGGCATACATTTACAATCCATCAGGTGCTACATCCCATCCTATCTGCTTCCAAGGTTGCTTTTAGTTTTAAACAGCAAAGCAAAAAGGATGTGATGGCCTTTATAAAATTATGAGCAATGTGAATGGTGTGAAATTTTGCTTCCACTAGAACGTTGCTAGAATTCAGGAGAGGCTGTCATGCCCTCTTTATGGACTTCCTGTAAAAATCTGATTGGTTACTTTGAGAAACAGGATGCTAGACTAGATGGAATAGGTCAATGATATCCAACATGGTGCCTATGGGCACTACGGGTGTGCATTCGGATCTACCTGAGCCAAAAATATACCGAGCCAAAAATATACCGGGTATATTTTGGCTTCCCAAATGTATCTGCGTTTTCTTGGGGGGGAGGGATCCCGAGAAAATCCCAGATATATTTGGAAATTACCAGTAGATCCGAAAACAGATCCACTGTTTGTTGGGCTTCTACTGCAGTCCCTTTAAGTTTAAAGGGACTGCAGAAGACAGCCTGAGGATCAGCTGTACGGGTGGGAGCAGAATGTTCCCACCGGCTCAGACTGGGACTGGCTTCTTGTGTAGGCCAGTTTAAACTGGGCTGCAGAAGAGGCCAGCGCCAGAAGCTGATGTGCTGCAGGGAACAATCTGCTAGCAGTGGCATAGCAGATCCTGGGGCCAGCTTCTCCTGCAGCGCAGTTTAAACCGCACTGCAGGAGAAGCCATCCCAGCCAGGTCTGCATGCTGTGGGGAGAGACCTCCCCATGGCATGCAGATCCTGGGGCCAGCTTCTCCTGCAGTGGAGTTGGCTTTAAAAACAACAACAACAACAACAGTATTTCTTGGGTCTATTGAATCTGAAAAATATTTGGGATTTCCAAAAAAACCCGGATCCGAATCCCATACCACTATTAGGATCTGGGATTTTTTGGAAATTGGGTCCAGTAGACCCAAACTGAAAGATATCGATTTTAAAAAAATTGCACACCCCTAATGGGCACCCACCAACATGTTTCCCAGCACCCCCTTGCTTTTTTCTCATAGCATCTTTTTGCTAAGAGCAAGTCCTGGCTTTTCTCTAGTTTACTAGAGCAGGAAGTGCTTCAGAAGAACCCATCACCTTTATGTCTACAGGAAGCACCTGCTGGGAAAATGCTGTTTGTGTCACAGGGGAATGTTTGGCTTGGAACACTGAAACATTTTGTTGACCTTCCAAGTAATTTGTGATTGGGCTTGGTTTCTGTGGCGGCCATTTTGTGACAGCTCCCATCCATGGCAGCCATTTTGTTGTGGCAGCCACTACCTGTTCTCAAACTTAAAAAAACACAGATTCAACAAGGTTAGGGACCCCCAGTCTATTCTTATGTTCTTAATGGACCTACAAACCTAATATTGAGCCAGACCATTGGCTCATTTTGTCCTTTCCTGTCTACTCTGACCACCAGTGGATTTCCAGGATCTCAAGTTGAGACTTTCCCCAGGCTCTACAACTTGAAATATAGGTAAAACTCAGAATTCTCTGCATGCAAAACTGGTGCTATATCATTGGGCCAAGATGAGCCGCAAAACCTTGAAGGACAGGCAACAGTATCCATTGTGATGCCTGCCCAAAGGAACACTGTGGGATAAATGAAACCTGGAAGCAGGGACCACCCCCAAGAATGAAATGCAAACTACTGCTCCTTGGAAAAGCAGTCAGTGCCCAGATAACAATTTCTGTTGTATCTGTTCCCTTTAAGGTAGGGTTGCCATTCCCCCGACGGTGGCGGGGGTTCACCCACTTTCAGGGCCCCCAATCTGCCCCTGTCCAGCTGGCTGGCTGGGGGAGCCCAACCCCCAAACAGTCCCAACCATGCCAACGTGCCCAGCGCAATGACATCACCTGGAGGGAAAGCTCTAATGTTTGAGGAAAATAGGAATGGTCCAGGAGAGAGCCAGTTCGGTGTAGTGGTTAAGTGCATGGACTCTAATCTGGGAGAACCAGGTTTGATTCCCCACTCCTCCACTTGCACCTGGCTGGATGACTTTGGGCAAGCCGTAGTTCTGATAAGAGCTGTTCTTGAAAAAGAGCAGTATCTGACAGAGCTGTCTCAGCCCCACCTACCTCACAGGGTGTCTGTTGTGGGGAGGGGAAGGGAAAGGAGTTTGTAAGCCGCTCTGAGACACCTTTGGGTAGTGAAGGGCGGGGTATAAATCCAATCTCTTCTCTTCTTCTCTTCTCTATGATTATCATACCCGCTAGAGTGTCCCCTGCAATGTGCCCTATGCGATGATGTCACTTCCAGTTGATTTCACCATGCCACGTGCATGCTAAAACGTTCCGGAAAAGAAGAGGCACCCCCCCCCCACCAGCAGCCAGGTAAGATCTGACAACCCTACTTTAAAGAAACAATTTTTTTTAAAGGCAGATTGTTGAGTCTGCTCAAGACCTGCTTTGGAGGCTGACCTGTGGTGGCATCCGTGGAAATTGGGCCTGACCGCTTGCGGCCAGAAACACCGTAGAGATTGAACTTGTATCTGCGGGAGGGGGCCAGGTTGGGGACGGTGGCCTGGCGGAAGTTACCCTCCATGTGTAGCACCTGAGGCTTGCCCTCCGCATCCTTGAACTGAATGAGGAAAGAATCAAAGCTTCCAGTAGGAATGGTCCAGGAGAGAAGGACGGAGTCACTAGAGATATCAGAGACTGAGAGCTCTCCCAAGCTCGGCTGAACAGGGACTCTTTCCTCCAGTGAAACTGTGGCAGAGGCTAAAACAGATAGAGAGGAAGTGAATCAATATAGCCAAGAGAGACAATCCAGTTTCTGCAGTTTCTAAATGATGCTAGATGGAAAAAAGGAATAAAACAGGAAAGACTTTTCACTGTGGCAACAAGCTTTAAGAGACAGGAAGAGATAAGGAGTTAAAAAGAGACATTGAGGTAAAATGAAGAGATAGGTAAAGGATATTGAGGAAAAAGTGGCGACCTTTGGTTTCATCCATGCTGGTACAATTTGAACTACTGATGATTATCCAAATGCGCTAGGTTTTTTAGCATAACTTTTAGTGGGCACATATTGGATTCGGTGTCATGACTTCATCTGATAATTAAATGAGGAAGCATAAATATCATAGATGTCAATGGCACAAAAAGGAATGCAGTTCAGCCCACTGCTGGGAAGTAGACTTGGCCACCCAAAAGAAGGATGGATGCAATCCAGAACTGTATCCTCCCTTAGCAGCCGCGGCCCCTGTGCAGGAGACTTCCACATGTGTACTATCAATATACAAATGGAGGGTCAGGATTGCATTGCCTGGGCCTACTCTCCTCCCCCTCTCAATGCCCATGTGTTCTTCTGAGGAGTCTATATGCACATAAGCTTAACACATGTTTCTGTCTTTCTTTACCCTGCATTTTTGCAGGGTACTGAAATGTGCAGAGAGCGCCTACATACATGCAAATCAAATGTTCACAGTCTACGGTTGCCAGCATTCAGGTGGGGCCTGGTGATCTCTTGGAATTAGAACTGATCTCCAGATGTCAGGGATCAGTTTCCTTGGGGGGGAAATGCCATACTCTATGGCATTATAACCTGCTGAGGTCTCTCCTCAGACTCCACCTCCAAATCTCCAGGAATTTCCCAACCTAGAGCAACACTAACATAGGGTGACTTCCCACAAGCGCTGCTCCACGCTCACTCCTCCCTTTTGCCCCGATGGTACGTGTCAATTTCGGCCGCATTTTGCCCTGCAGCTTTGTGGGATTTTCCCCGCGTCTACTCAATCCTCAAAAAACAGGATTGAGTAGACGCGGGGAAAATCGCACGAAGCTCTGGGGCAAAATGGGGTCGTGCAGCAGCTTGTTTGAAATGGACACGTACCATCAGGCCAAAGAGAAGAGTGAGCACGGAGCAGCGCTTGTGGGAAATCACCCACTGTCTCTGTACCAAAAAAATGCAGGGGGGTCATTGCTTGGATGTTGTCTGCACAGGAGGATGGGATCACTGTAAGTTGGCTACAACATGATGGCACATTCCCCCAAAATCATGTAATCCTATCTGGCATTTGGAGGTGGGGGTGTTTGATCAATACCCATGTGCATGTTAGTAGTGTAGAGTGGAATAAGTGCCTTGGATCCTAAGTAGTGTGAGTTGCACTACAGGGAAGCAATGGCTGAGTTCAGACTGGCAGTTTGGCCCAATATAGGCACGTTTCACAAACGGATTAAAGGGGCCGGTTCACGCAGCCACAGCTGTCAGGCGTTCCCCAGCCGTACTCAACCCGTCCTAGGACGATTCCCTACCGAGTTTAAAAAGTACCAGGTGAAAGCTGTAGCAAACCCTGGAGAGCGCGTTGATCCCACTTCCCAGAAGTGGGCACGCTAAAAGCCGCAAACAAGCTGCAGTGCTGCAGTGCTGCACCCATGCGCATAGGCGCATGTCGGCGGAGTGAAAAAAAGCCCCTTACAGCCGCGTCTCCGCCAAGGGTGGGCCAACAGTGTGAATGCTACCTTGCACCTCCTCCCCGGTATGCTCCCGCATCAGTAGGTGCAGTGCGACCGGGAATCCCGGCACAACTTGGTCCAGGTCTTTTTGCCCCGCCTCCCTCGCACTTCATACTGCCAGTCTGTCCTCAGCCAATTTCTCCGTAACTCAGAAGGAAGGGCAGATTGAAAAGGATTTTTTTTTGAGCATCGCTAACAAGGGATGATTTCAAATTTCTCATCTGTGCTGTTCTGATGTGAAAAACACAATTTCAGTTTTGCTTCTCCTTCGCACGCATCTGACCCCTGATTGCTTTTGTTTTGGGCCCACATTCTCTTCCCTTGAGCCGCATTTCTCCTGTTAACATTTATGTATTTCTCAACGTAAATCAATATTCTTCCCAGTTTGAGCACTAGAAAAATACAGTATGCTCCAAACATGCTCTTCTTCCGTGAATCATCTTGGCTAGATGCTGTGCAAAACGTGGGCAGCAACAGTGATTCTGATGGGCTGAAAAGGCCCTCTGACAACCCATTCACAAGGAGCATGACCCAATCTAAATGGAAAGAGAAACACTTAACCCCCAAAGGAGTTTTCATCCAAGCAGATCCCAACCTGTATGTAGGGGAAAAAATGGAGACAGGAACACCAAACGAGAGATAGGAGAGGGAAGGAAACAGATGGACTATGGAAGGTTTGTTCTGCAATAACTGCTGTAAGAACAAGAAATTCAAGAGCCAAAGGAAACCACTTCTGACACCAGTGCCACCTTTGGAAACCAAGAAATTAAATAGGAAGTGCAAAAGATACGTGAAAAATCTCCAGCTAAGCTAACACCAAGTTGCTGCTGACCTGTCAAAGCCTCGGTGGAAATGGGGCCATAGCGCTTGCGTCCAGAGACCCCATAGAGGTTGAACTTGTATCTGTGGGAAGGAGAGAGACTTGGGATGGTGACCTCACGGGAGTCTCCTTCCAAGGGTATTGCCCGAGGCTTCCCTTCGGCATCCTTGAACTGGACCTGAAATGAGTCAAATTTCCCACTACGGACAGTCCAGGAGAGATGTACGGAATTGCTGGTAGGGTTAGAGGCTAAGAGCTCCCCTAGGCTAGGATGAACCACTCTTGCCCCATCTGGCCTCTCTTCTGTTTCTTGAGACGGTGCTGCGAGGATC